ATATCTGAAACTCAAGCAATAAAAAATAACTGAAAACGCAATATATATTGGAATAAAAGAGCAATTTTCTCCTTTTTTTTAATTCTACATCAGATAATTTCAATTATTCAAATTCAATCGCTTGACGTTTCCTTGGCGCTACTTATATTTTCGGAACGTCAAAATATTCATTGCGAGAGCGCAATGATCGCTATGAAAGTACGAAGTTCGCGAGAAATACGAACTGATAAGAAATGGAAAAAGCAACGAATACCTGTAAACGTGTAAAGCGATGTATCGTATCTCTTCGTGATTCTCCACTTTCGCGGCGAACGCTTTGCCGAACGCTTTCAAATCGCCGCTCTTGCTCTTTTGTTATTCTATCACGTAAATAAAATACGATAAAATTTATTGGGCGACTCGCGGGCGAGAAAATTTTCACATCACCGTCGTTGGAGGCGCACCCGTCCAGCCGCACTGATGTCGCCATCTTGCGCGGGAAACCTCGAGCCGCGGCCAACTTCGCGCGGTGATACGGAGGTAGCCGTGCGCATGCGCGCAACAGCTATCGCGAACAGCTGACAGGGAGCAGCTGTACGAGAGACAGCGGGGTGGATCGATCGTTCGCGTCGCTGTCAAAGTTTCGTACATAAACCACCGGTAGCTCAATTTCCGCCGGGTACATGTGCAACTGAAAATCACTTCGCTCGCGTATCATGGCGTTCCTGGAGGTCAGTATATAATTATTTCTCTTCGCAATTTATTTGTCATCTCTCTCCCGCTCGACGTTCGGTATAACCTAGAATGTCGACGCTAACCTTCCTTGTCCGGAGTAACTGATCGCCCAGTTATTTAGGCTCGACATATCCGTAGACTTGAGCTCATTACACTACTCATTTTGGATACTCGTACACATTTATGTTATTTAACACGCATGCACGTATTTATTTATACGAGTGTACATTTTTCGTTGTTGACGAATGCGTAAATGTATTTGTATGTAGTTGTATTTTTATATGGTACAATCCACATTGGTTAATTATAGCCGATAGTATTTGTGAAAATTTGGATGTGAATGTGCAAGATAATCCTCTAGGATTGGAAGCATTTTAAGGAAAAAGAAACCTTCTTATCCTTTTAGTGGAGGCGCTTTAATTTCTTCGACTTGAAGAGGGAGGTCGACGAGGGAAAGATCGCTAAGGCGTTTGGAGTGAGTTGATTCTTCTGATTAATTGTCACATGCTTCCGTCATGAACGGGAAAGAATTTCTGATTTATCATTGTCATTATGTCCTTCATATAGGATGCACAGATTGCGACAGCTACCAGTGGCAATGGTAATCTGGTGTTTGGGGACAACACAGGCAATGTACATGTAATAAACAGATCGTATGAGATCACGACTTTCCGGGCTTATGAGATGACACTGACGTTGACGCAGCAAGTCCAACATTCCACTTTTCTATTTACTATCGGCGTAAGAGTGCTATGATTTCCCATTGCAATTTTCTTAAATTGCCAAAGAATATATGATAAATTTGATTTAATTATGATAATAAATAGGAGGATGAGCCTGGATGTAATCCTACTATAAAGGTTTGGAACTTGGCCAAGCCTGATAAACAAGGTAATCCAACATGCGTTCGAATAAGCAGAGCCATACCTAGCTATAGAGCAGTCCCCCCGACAGCTTTATGTGTGCATACTAGTCTTACATTAATGGCTATCGGGTTTGGAGATGGTTCTATTATGTTGTATAGGTAAGTGAATTACTCTTATATATTGTTAATATTAGAAAAAAAAGATAAACAATTATTATATACAGATTAAGATTATGTTCAAACAGGATCTTTGTTATATAATAATAATCTTTTTATTTTTGAACTTACATAAATTCAAGAACAATTGCATTTTGTTGCCCACTACGTGTTATTATTTTTTTATATAATTTATTATATATTTTATGTCATTATATAGTATGCTAATTTATAGTATGTTTACGTTTAAATTTTTTTTCAGAGGCGATCTAACTCGAGAGAGAAAAAATAAAATAAAAGTCTTAAAGGATGTCAATCTGTCTATTACCGGCCTCGCGATACGAGCGACTGGCAAACAGACGCACCTGTTCGTCGCTACACAGAATAGCGTGTTCTTGTATAATATTACTGTTAAGGACAAGGAATTCAAATCTACTTTGGATAATATGGGTTGCATGCGAAAATGTAGTGTACTCGCCGAGTCTATGCAAGACAGTCACTTCATGATCGGACGTAATGACGTATGTTCGCACATGTATTTCCCTTATGCTTCTACTTTACATTTACTACTTTAGCTTCTGCTTTACATTTACTTACTTTACATTTACTACTTACTTTACATCTACTTTACACTTTACATTTATTCGTTTCTAAAGAAAAACATTTTCAGGCTATTTATTGTTATACACCAGACGGTAGGGGTCCATGCTATGCAGTAGAGGGTCAAAAGATAATGCTGGAATGGTTCAGGACATATTTGGTGATAGTGGCAAAAGAAGCAGCGAATGTACCAAGAACGACAACAACTATATCTGCAAAACCCAAGTAATAAATATATTATATATTTTTTTCTAATTATTTTATATCTTTTATATTAAAGATGTGTTATATTACACATATTAAATTTCCGTAGTACGATAGAACCAATACCTCCTGGTGTCGATAAGCACATCATTACTGTGCTTGATATTCAAAATAAGTTCATTGTATTCTCTGCGCCGATGGTGTCTGTCCAGGCAGTTTTGTCCGAGTGGGGTGGATTTTTCATACTTAGTGGAGATAATAAACTATATCATTTAGATGAGAAAGACTTGCAATCTAAATTGGCGTTGCTCTTTAAAAAGAATTTATATGATGTCTCTATAAGGTATATATGTTGGATTTGATTGTTGATTGATTATTGATTTGATTGTAATTATTAATATCAAAGTGTTAAGGCAAAAGCTTTTGATAATATAACTTTGTGTTATTATAGAATAGCTAAAAATCAGCAATATGATGCGGAAGGTCTTATAGATATTTTCCGTCAATATGGAGATCATTTATATTCCAAAGGGGATCATAACGGTGCTATAGAGCAATATATAAAGACTATAGGCAAATTGGAACCATCTTATGTGATAAGAAAATTCTTGGATTCCCAACATATCGATAATTTGACGACATATTTGCAAGCATTGCATAAAAATGGACAGGCAACGGAGGATCATACTACTTTGTTACTAAATTGTTATACTAAGCTTAACCATACTGATAAATTGAAAGAGTTTATTATGGTAAGTTGAAATGCAAAATAAAGTATTTGTCAATACATAAGTACAATTATATTATGTCATATATAATTTAGACAAAAGATCGTGAGGTCGATTTCGATGTGGAAATAGCGATAAAAGTTTGTCGCCAAGCGTCGCCAGAGGATGCTTTATTACTTGCCCAGAAACATAATAAACATGAGTGGTATCTTCGTATTCAAATTGAAGACAAACAAGAATATAAAAAGGCTTTAGAGTACATGGCAACATTAGAATTTGAAGAGGTTATACATATTTTTTTTTTGAATGAAAAAAGGTAAAATATCCATGTCAAAAATATTTAAAACATTTTTAGGCAGAAGCTAATATGAAGAAATATGGAAATATTTTAATAGAAAATGTGCCAAATGAATCCACACAGTTTCTGAAAGCTTTATGTACAAATTATAAACCTGCCAACAAACCTCTTGTAGATCAGGTATACACATTTGTCTTGTTCCTACATTCTTTTATTAACTCAAGTTATTATGTATGAAAAAATTAAAAGATAAAAATTTATGAATTTTTTTATCTTTTGTAGGAAGCTTTAAATAGCTATACAGAGCAGCGTGTTGATAAAGCTAGTCCAGAAGATTTTATTCACTTATTTCTAAATAATTCTGAACGACTCGTAGAGTTTTTGGAGCATTTAGTTAAATCAGATACAAAGTTAGTATTTTTTATGATAAAGAGAGAATGTGGATATTTTTTATCATGAAATTAATTTTTCATTTGTTGATATTTTTTTATAGATGGAGTACACTTATTTATAATACATTAATGGAACATTATTTACATGTTTGGTCGGCTTTAGATAACGACGTAGCTAAACTACAATATGAACAGAAAATTGTACGACTTCTGCAGAATTCCGAAGCTCGTTACGATAAAGACCAGATATTAATACTCTGTCATCAGCATAATTTCAGAAAGGGATTACTCTTCCTTTACGAAGAGAGTAAACTGTAAGTCATATGTAATATAATGTATATATATGTATATATGTATGTATGTATATATATATATATATATATATATATATATGTATGTGTGTTATGAATAATTATATAGAAATACACACGCATGCACACAAATGCAATTGCATTATTATTTTAGATATCAAGAAATATTGAGATTTCATTTACGCGAAGGAGATAGCGAACAAATTCTCGCCACTTGCAAGAGATTTGGTCATCAGGATCCTAATCTTTGGGTACAAGCTTTATGGAGCGTAGCTAAAAATAAGGATGCGCCAACAAAACTTCTTGCGGATATATTAGCTTATATCGGTTAGTATATTTATGGAATATCAATTACGTTCAATTAAATACATTTAAAATTATTATAGCACAAGAAAAACTATTATCTCCCTTGATGGTCATTGATGCAATTTCTACATCCTTGACTTGTACATTGGGAGACGTTAGAAGTTATTTGTGCAGTGTATTACGAACGGAAAATGAACAAACTCAAGCTGACATGGAATTAACGGAAAAATACAGGGCTGATACTCTTAAATTGCGGGAACAAATAGAAGCAATAAAGAATAATACGATAATCTTTCAAGGTTCAAGATGTAGCGCGTGCCATCATCAATTAGAATTACCATCTGTGCATTTCATGTGTCAACATTCGTATCATCAACAGTAAGCTTTTTCCTAATATTATTACTATGTTTATTATTCACTTGTGTATATATAAAAAATTTATTATTATAATTTATTATAATTTTACATATCTTCCTTGTGACAGTTGCTTTCAAAGTTTTTCGGAGAATGAGAACGAATGTCCAGCATGCTTGCCAAACAACAAGAAATTATTAGATATTATAAGAGCACAAGAGCAATCAAGAGATCTACATGAAACTTTCCACAGTCTTCTCGATCGAGCGGAAGACCCATTCTCCTTAGTAGCCGACTATTTTGGTAGAGGCGTTTTTAAGAAATTAACAGTAATTACTGATACAGATAAATCGTTACCTACACCGATTAAATTGGAAGAGCCTAAGTTAAATTATGGTCCAGGTGCGGAAGCGAGACTCAGGTTAAATGAGGGAAAAAGTTCTCTTTCAGGTACGATTTAATTTTTCATTTTATGTATATGTCAATTCATTATTTCCGAAATTCGAACATTTACAATTCAACAGGAAAAATGGAAGGATCTCGACGAACTGGATATGATGTCCCTACGTTAGTAATGGAGGAACGTTTCCGAAATTTTGTTAAGCCAGACGTATATTCCTCATCATTAGAGGCAAATATATCGGGAACGGGAAGCGGTTTATCGACGCCACGTGGTAATTCCACAAAAGCTTCGCCAGTACCGATCAGGGAAGCTCGTATTTTGAATAGTATCACACCAAAATCATCACCGATCGAGAAGACGACCTTTCACTCATCTAAAGTCCCTATTGTGCAATCGAAACCCTTTGAGACTGACGATTATGATGAATCTAAAAATCCCTTCGCCAACGATGTCGACGATGATGACGATGACGATGCAAATAATCCTTTTAAAAATGACATTGATAATGATATGGCTGGCAACGATGATGACGATTATGATAGAAATCTAAATCCATTCGGTAGATAAACTACAGATACATTTTCTTGTGATAGAATCGAGACGAAATATATGTATATGTATAGACAAGCGATACGTAAAGAGAAAAAAAATATTGTCAAATGCATGCTAATAATAAGCATTACGTAATGAATTTCCGAATCTAATGTATTATATATAAACTCGTGTAAACATTTGTATAGTATCTATTCCAATTTTATATGCTGTGAAAACTTGATTTAGAACATTAATATTACATTTCTCTCTCTTCCTAAAGTTGGAGACTTTACGCAATGCAGATTTTAGATATAATTTAATATCTAATCTATCTTTGTAAGAAGAAAGATAAATTAAAATATGCTCTTTTTGTATCTCTTGAGATCTGTGGTAAAACACACAGTATCTAAATCGAGGCAAAGGCGATTAAAGAATCGCAAAATGAAAAAGCAATCAATGAGAAAGGATACATATATCAATACGCCTTTATAATAAGACTGTGATCTAAAA